TTGTTTCCATAAGTTTATCATCAGATGATAATTCACCATCTTTAACACATTCAAGATAAAATGGTGTCATATTATTTGTTTTTATTTCATTTAATAATTTTTCTTTTAATGTTTTATCATTTGGTTGAATTGTTATTAAAAATTTAAATTGTGCTAAATCAAGATTAGGTACTTTGGGAAGGCCTTCATCAGATAAATCTTCGACAGGCATGATCTAAAAACTCAAAAAATGAAAATAATCAAATGAATGTGTTATAATATTGATCTTTCCTCTGTAGAATATGCAAAATCCTCATTTTCTGAATATATTTAAGTTGTATACGATCACGTTTTTACGAAATATTCAATAAACAAGAGTGAAACATAGTTCATTTGGCGATTTGAAATTCTCTGTGGGTCCTCATTCTATTTATTTCAATGCATTTTTATATAATAATAAAAACAATTTAATTAAAAAGAAAAAAACCCATTGTCTTTTCAACAGACATCATATTTACTGTCGATTTTTTCCATGCTGAACTAGAAAAAGTCTGACAGGATTTCTTTTCAGACGTTCCTTATGGAATTTTCGTCTTATGACAAGATATTCATAGAAAAAAATTGATTTGTCTGAATCTTTCAGAATGTACTCAGAATCAAGAGACTTATTTATGTTCGGGTGAAAAAAATCCTTCTTTTAAATTTTCCTATAAATAGCTTGCCGTAAGTCGTAAATTGAATAAAACTTTCATAATTCCATAAGAAATGGACTCCTGATTATAAGAAAAATATTACTTTGATCGCCAACTAACAGTTAAATATATTCGTTCGTTAAGAAATTTTTTTTATTTTGTTCATAAACTTATGAGTTTTTCTTTTAGTTGTCTGTAACAACTAGATACTAAATTTCATTTCTATGATTATGTGTCTGCCAGAAAAGAATACAATCAGATTATAATAAATAATTATTGTTGAAACTGCACTAACTCGAGAAATATGCAAATAAATCTCAAGTTCATCAACAGTTTAACATTATTATTTCCCAGAAAAAAACAATATTCGCACAAGAATCATTGAAAAAGATTCTGTCGTTAAATATCCGGGAAGATTCAAATTTTAATAAATTTCATCATGGTTCGTAAAAGAACGATGTGATCAATAAATATTATAACAACTTATGATAAATATACATGAATAATGAGAGAGTCATTTGAAATATGAAGTGGACAAATTCTTCTTGGCTACTATAAATCTTTCTATAGAGCTATAGCGTAGTACAATCAAATAACGACTGCACCTCTTCTCAACGTCAAAAATTTCGTTTTGTCTGTGGTAGTGTTACCGATGTCACTTTGTCGGGCGTTAAGTCCACTATTGAAATCATGAGATGATTCTGTAAAAATGTTTTCTCGCATAAATTAAGAAAAATGATACATTCGTGTCATTAAGACCGCATGGCCCTTTTACATCTCTATTTTTTCTCATCATCAAAAGAAATCTATTATAGTCATGTAATGGAAAATAAAAATGATTTATTTAAAAGTTCAATAAGTCACGAAAGAAGTTTACGTATAGACTATTCAAAAATATATAAGAGACTTAATGATGATTCTCTTCGAATCTATTCAAAAAAATGTTGTCCTTTGTTTATGTTCTTTTGATTATATATACAAAGACTTATATAAATAGACTTTCATTTTTAGAAAGCTTTATCAAGACCTTCCACTAATCACTCTTTTTTTTCACATAAAAAGAAAAAGAAATATATAGAACGAGGGTTCACAGACAATTTCGGATTTACAAATGAGCTATTTATGACTCTTGTTGGATAAAAATCTTTCTCAAATGTCATAGTATACAACTGAAAATTTTAGCATAACCTATCCATCGTACAGTCCCAACACATATCCTGAGAATTTCAGGTAATTTGAATGCACTTGGGATGAAGTTGTTTTCGATATGGATGACCTTAAATTGAAGGATAGAATCTATTTCGAATAATTAATTTGATGTTACTGAAAAAAAAAGACTATATTTCATATGCTAAATACATACTTCAGTACAATTTTTCTTTCCATTAATGACAACATGTATATAAGTCATCCAATTATTTTAACAATATTTATTATTCATTTATGCATTCAAAATGAAATTCATTTTTTTCCAAAAAATAAAGTTTTCGTTTAATTGAATTTCATTTTCAAATAAGATTTTCTTGAAAACAGAAAAACCTAAACTCAATTTTATTTCTTTTGTTTATTTGAAAGTATCAATGGAGTATGGCGCCATCTATCATATAGAATGCATCAAAAATAAAAATAGAAGTTGAAAAAACTTATTATCGTTAGTAATAAATAAGTGACGTCTGATGCTTTTGATGAAAATGATTAGTGAGCTACAATCATCTGTCAATCAGGATGCATTAAGTTTAACTTTCGGGGTACATCATACGATCTCTACCAAGTTTACATCGAGCATTTTCAAATCTCATGCAACTTCCAGGATTTATGGGCTATATTTATCTATTTCTTTCAATAAGAATAGTTTTAAGTTTAAGTAATAAATACACATATATGCAGAGATCATACATATCATGATTTTGCATGGAATCTGGAAAACTAGAATGTAATCAAAAAAGACATTATACAAAAAAACTGCCTAATTGTCTGTACAAAATGTAACTATGGGCATACCCATATCTTCTGTTTTCTTGCATAAACTGACAGTTTTGCTCATTCATTAAAGTTCTTTTGGTAGACGCATAATTTTTGTTGTTAGTATATATTTAATATTGAGTGCGTAAAATAGAAGTTCCAACAATTTTTTCATGATTTGAATAGACTATTGATATTCCTATTCATTCTATATTCTTTCTTCGCGTACACAAATATGTTGTAAGATTTACAATGGATACGCATCAGCTAGTCTACATTTGATTAAGTCTTTTTAGTATATCTATATAGTCAACGCGGTTGAGCTTTTCAAAAAGTTATTCATCATTTTAACTTTTTTCAATTCGATGTAAGTCATTAATATACAGTTGCAGCTTGGTTTTTCAATATGTCTTCTTTCGATAGCACTAAAAAATTGTATTCACGTCTTTTTGATTAATCGTCATAATTAATATTCAAAAAGTTAAATCGAATTGTATTTTTATTTAAATTTGGGCCGACAATAGAGCAAAATGTAAGTGTGAATTTATGAAATTCAATTATGTATTCACTTAAAAAACAAATGATTCTATTGTACTTACAGGATAAGAATAGATGAGGGGATAGTGAGAGAGAACTACCGTTTTTTGCAGGTCCGAACGACATGGGTATATTCTAGTTGTTCATGCTCTTAGCTATAATGAAATATTAAAACTTTTGATCTCGGAAGATGGTAATGTCTATGAATTCATTCAAGTATCAATAGCTCAAATGGGTTATATATTTATATACTCTAGTGGAAGATATCGTTTCTTTCTGATATCATCACATTGGTGAACGGTTTTAAGATTTTTGTTGATAGATGCATGGATCGGACATATCATTTATTGACTAACGACAGGATCCATAGAGAAGACTACAAATCTGAACATTTCGTAAGATTGACCAAAGCTTGGTATTATCTTCTCATGTCACATTTTTCTTCTTCACGCTAAGCGCACTCGAGACAATGCTGCTTTCCAAGAAGTGTTGCATTAACCTGTGAACTTTGTCAAGACAAAATACCTTTTCTGCGTAGACAACACGTTCTAAATTCCAACTCCGTGCGTTTAGTCAATTACGGAGGTTCAATGTGATCGGACGAAAAACAAAACTTTGATCTCCCGCTCCCGCGCAATCTTGATTGTTTCGGGTAACCCAGACTTTGACTAGTGAGAGTACACTTTCTATAGAGATCTCTTTATTCTAAATGGTAAAAAAAAGCTGAATGATGATAAACGAGTCTTGTACAAGTTCATGTCTGCACATCTCGGCGCTGCAAACGTACAAAGACATTTTGAGGTGAAATAACAAAAAATTCTTGAAGGTCCTTCATTGTCTGATGTGTTTGTTCACCACAATCGATAATTGAATAGATTTTCAAAAGTCTTACAAGCACTGCTTTCATTTCCATCAGTGCAAATCGCATTCCAACACAGTTTCGTGGTCCAGCACCAAAGGGAATCCATGCAAGTGGATGTCGTTTGGTGACAAAGCGTTCCGGATAGAACACGTGTGGATCGACAGGACCCCAAAGTTCAGGATTAAAATGTAAACTTTGAATATTAGCGGCAATGACAGTACCAGCTGGAATGGTTCCGACATTCTTGATATGAAACTCTGTAGTGTTCTGTCGATGAATGACGCTCGGTGCAATTGGATACATGCGAAGTGTTTCTCGAATAAACATATCTAAGTAGTCCATTTCCGAAATTGTTTCATAGCTTGGTCTTTCCTGTTCATCCTTGGAATGAAAATGAGCATCGATATGCTCTTGCAATTTGCGTTGTTCATCTGGATGTGTAGCGAGAACATATGTAACATAAGCAAGTGCTGTACTTGTGGTTTCATAGCCGGCGATCACTTGAAAACGAGACCAGTCGAAAGATAATGATAGAAAAATCAAGCAAAATTACTTACTGAAAAAATAGATGTTTGCCAGAATTTCATCTTTTGTCAGTTTTCGAACAAGAGGCATGTCGATATTCGTTTCTGAATTATCCATGACAGACAGTGATCGATTCTGTTCATAGTAAAAAAAAAAAAGAAACAACAGAATGTTTTCTTAAATCAGTTCATCATTCCGTTTCAACTAACTATTGATGATCTATCGTTACTCTGCTCAATAAAATCGTTATCGGAAGCTGATTCAAGCATCAATTGCAATAGATCCATTCGATTTGTATTGCCTAATTCGATGCGTCTTTTGATTAATGCTTCTGCTTGTTTCTGAATCCATACTTGTGGTTCAACACTGATGAATCTTTGTGCTATTGGTAAATAATAATAAAGCCAATAACGAATAGCACTATCGAAATGATAGAGTCGATATCAAAGCCATTTTAATTCATTCATAAATATAAAACAAATAACCAATTTGGTAAGACAAAATTCCTTAGTTAAGACTCTTTGTGAATATAGAAGATACTGATTATTCAGATCATGCTGCATATTCGTATCCAGACCAAATCCACATGACCAAATTGTATCCATGGTAAAACGTTTGAAAAACACAAATATATCAAACGATTGACCGCATTGATGTTGTTCAGCCATTTTTTCCATGAGAATATCGACACTGTGATTGATTAATGGAGACATTTGTTTGAGTTTTAAAGATGAAAATGTCGGATTGATAATAAATCGTGGCCGTTTCCAACGAAGACCACGAGCAACAAACAGATGAGCATTTTTGGCCTTAGATTCGGCAAATAAAATTTCACGACGAGAATGAAAATTGGAGAATGATGTGATAAAAACATCTTGTAAAATATCAGGATCGGATATGACAAGAATCGGCGTGTGTCCTTCGAAATAGCCGAATATCTTTCCATATTTTTCAGTCCATGTTTGAATCGCTAATGAAATGCGATCAGTTTTGAGAATATCCAAGAAGTTCCCGAAAAAGAATCGTGTTGGCGGACCAGGAATACCAAGACGAATGAAGACACTATAAGCTCGATGAATATGCCATCCATAAGAGACGATCAAAATAACCAATATTACCACGAGTACTCCTGTCAACATAGTCGTATCTACTTGTTTACGGGTCTAATATTTTGTTGTATGATAGGATAACGATTGAAGCGTCGTCATTTTGTTTTTTTTTGTTGACGACGCTTGAGGCACACGCGTTCTCTTTTACTCTTTTCTCTCTATTGACATGACTCATACTTTCATTTCAAGCAACAGTCACGTATACTATAGAGCAACTTTATTGGCATATGTTGTAAAGAACCGCATGCGCAAGGAATTTGTTAGCTGTTTTTCACAATCATATTTAGTTGATAATTGATCAAGTCGATCTCAGAGATACACAAATACCAGCGATGTCCTCGTATCGGGAAAACCTTTCTGGATATCATTCTCTTGAACATGACATCGAGCTTTTGACAACGTATAATCTCCGAAATTCTTTTTGGGTTCCAATACACAAAAGCGATGCTCATCGATTATTGTGCCAACGTTTGATGACATAGTTCGAGAAGTTGGGATTCCAATGCGCAAGCTCTATTATTGTCGAGCAGCCATAGGAGAAACACAGCATCAATTTGGAATAAAAGTGCCTTGTTATTGTTATTATTTTTGTATTTTTCTTACTGATGAAAATCAAATCGTACATTTTTTTGTTCTGGTGATGGGTGATTTTATTATGTTTAAGTTCTCTTAAATTTCGAAATTTTTCTATTGAGCTTTCTGTTTCTAACTTACCAATAAATTGAGTATAGTGCATTTCTAAGAACATTGCATTTTAAAGCTTGGTAGTCGTCGAGACGAATACCGGGATTTTACGAATAAAGTCTTAGGACGAAAGTACGTCAAACATTAAAAAAGAAATCTTTTTATAACATCATTCAAAGAATCAAAGCGAGGTTGCCTGCTATGTTAAAATTCTTTGAACGTATTATTTGTCTCATCAGAAATGATGCAAATCGTTCATATTTTTGTATCCTTCAATAACTTGTCCTTGATACGTTGTCATCTTCTAAATTGAGTCATAATTCTACAGTATTCGTTTCATCTCGAAAGCGAAAAGGGTGTGGATATGGATCTGTTTGTTTTCGTTAAGCATCCACACCCTTAGAACAAATATTATGCTTATTGTTGCTATTGATATCACCAGTTGCTATATTGATATAGATATCAGATTTCTTGAATAAAATATTGATGATTTTTGAAAACTTATCTGTAACAATAATATAAAGTCAATCATGTTTCTTTTAGTATTTCCTTAATAAATAACGATCTTCTACGTAAAAGAAACTGATTATGTAATTACAATACATTAGAAAAAAAGAAAAATACTAATTGTCCAATACGTTCTTTATTTTAGACGAAATTTGACTTTTGATGAATGACTAATTTTTCGTGACTGTAAAAACTTCATTCAACATGATCTGGGGCCTTTATCATAGAATGAGAAGTTGAGAGCTCTATATTTAAAGCAACAGTTTTGATGAGGGTGTGGGTGTACAAGTCCATGTAGCCCATACCCACACCCACCCATAAGTAATTTATCGAAGAATCTTATTTGGAATCAACTTCACAATTCCAATAATCATTTGTAAAAATAAAAAAATTTAATAATTTTTGTTCCTAGTTTAAATTCAAAAATAAATTAAATTTTCTATATTTAAATTTATAATAAGTTTAACTTATCATAATTTGAATTTATTTTAAATATAAATTGGTATCAATTTAAATTTAACGGAAAAATGACACCCTCACCCCCACACCCATAATTACACTAACACTCACACACCCGCAACGAATTTTCTTGCAATGAATTATCCGATCACCCGCTTTTAGAAACATTCAAAAATAAATATTTAGTTTTCGAATCTTAATTAAATACAGCAATATGTTAATATTTTCTAATAATGGATACAATTAATTAGCACAATTCTTAGACATACATTTCTTATTTAATCGACTGAAGATTATTCTCGATATATGAATTAGTAGTTGGGATAATATATAAAAAATCATTCTTTTCTTTTCTTATCCTATTCTTCAGTGGATTAACATCTATTTTATTTGATAAATAACTCAGAGTACATTGAAACGCGACGAGTTCTGAATCATCATTGAACATATTTTGAACAAACATACGAAATTAATAATAGAGATAAGTGAATCGTCCGTGTATTCAGCTGTACATATGAAGATAAGGAGATGAATCGACGAAACTTGTGACATGCCACCTTCGCGATTGCCAAAAGTCATTGTTTTTCAGAATTTCTGAAGGTAAAGTAGTTGGTTCCTTTATTTCTATTTTCACATTGAGTCGTCTAATGCCAGTCGGCAAAACTTGTTCCCATTCACCCGGATTGATCATACGTTCACAAGGTGAAGTTGCTTGAACGTGAAGTGTTCGAAGACGAGGTGTGCATCCAAGTAGCCATTCGATCGACGAAAAACTCAGAAGAGCGGAATGAACTGTCAAATGGATAAGTGATGACGACGGAAGAGAAGAGGAACGAATAAAGCGTGGTACTCTCTCAAAACCTGTGAAATCAGGCACCACACACAAATTGAGTCGCCGAAGATGAGACGAATGAACGAGAAGATTTGTAGCCACAACGTCTATTTGACTTTGTACGTGACTTATTTGGAGATATTGGATTGTATTTGACTGCAAATAAATCATGTTCGAAGAAAATGTTGCATTAGGTAGAAGACATTGACGTAGTTTGGGATAGATAGAGAGAAAGAGTTTCCAACAATTTGAATGAATAAATGATACAAAGAGATAGACAAGATTCTTTCGAAGACGGTACATTGAATTTTCAAACAGAATTTCAGCTGTTTTTTGGTTAATTTTGATTAGAGTGAGCGAGCGAATGAAGGCAAAATGTTCCAAAGTGAAGTCATCGCGTAGTACGAGCTTGGTATGCCGATTGATAGATGATCGAAATGATCCAATTCGACGTGGATTAACTGAAGGAAGATGTCGACCGAGATGGGACATAATCTTGTTCGAGGGAATACAATCAAGATCAACACAGATGTTATGACAATGAGTGAGAACAGTGTCAAAACGAGAGTTGAGCGATGAGAATGTGAAATACAACGAATACCAATCAAATAGTTCGAATAGTTCCATCAGAAGTTCGTTTGACATACACTCGAGTTTTGTTGTCAACGTTGAGTTCACAGTCGGTCGATCTTTCAAAACAGCAACAACTGATGTTTGGTTATCCTTAATATTTTCTGTTGCGGACATGTTGCATTGTGATGTTCAAATCAAAGGCATGTTCAATAAATATATGACGGATTGATCGGACTGAAAAAAGACTATATTCGCCGTTCTTTTGTATGTGGACCATTGTTTGTTCTAGGGTCATTATATAGATGATGTCTATAACAGAATTAGACGATAGTTGTTCTTTTTGATTTTATTCACACGGAGCTTTATGAAATCTTTCTCTTAAAGTTCAACATATACACATAAGCTTTTCTTACAGTCACACAGGTTCGACTATCCTTGAAGTAAATATGAACTTGTATAAATACCCTAATTGTTAATCTTCTTCATTTTTTATGTTTTTGTATGTTCGTTGAACACCTCTATTCGTACGATTAACATCATATTTAACTTGAATTTTGTCAAAATACCATTATGTTAACTTTTTAAACAAAGCTGTCTCTTTTCAATCGATCTCCTCACGTATTGCTACGCAATGACGGAAAAATTGCATATACACACACTGTAAACAATATCATGCGTCTTACAAGACGGTTCATCTGTCTATGATCTAGTTAAGACATGTATCAGACACGACATGTGCCTCGCTTTTAGACAGCTGAATGAGGTAGATAATGACGCCTTTGTTCGTCGTCTCAACTGAGCATGTAATCAGCTATTAACCGACGATACATAGAACGAACGTTGGTTTAGTCAAAATACAATTAAAGAAAGATATTTTTAAATAACAATTTTTCAGACGATGAATTAAATATGATAAGGATTTTAATTATTATAACTAACATGAAATGTGACATTTCTAAACTGATGCTCAAAGTAACTTCAACAAAATAGCCAGTAACCGTGTTAACAATTCAAGAAACAGTATGATTTTTTTAATGCTAAATAGATAATAGCAACTGACAATTATGTGCTCTTCATAAAATAAATACATTCATAAAAAAAAGCTTACTACAGTCTTTCTCTGTATTATCTGTTATACAAAAGTGATTGATCATAAGTGGACAATGGCGTCATAATTACTTTTATTCATTATTCTTTATTTGAGATCAATTAATTTTTGTAAGTTATGTATCCGCCTAATACTGTGTTGTATTTACTGTACTTCATTAAATAATAAGTATAATTTGATTTTTGTGTCACGTTTAAGCAACGAGGAGTAAGACAGCAGTATCGACGTTTTTCCGTTTTTTTTATGAAAAATAGTTTGATCCTATGTAAGCTGGACATTCAACGAAGTAGAAGCAACCGAGTCACCTTATAGATACATACTGCCAGTGTTAAACAATGATAAAGAAACTGTTGTTAAAGAAGAAAATCGACACTTTTTTCGAAAAATATCAACCTTCTCAGAAATAAAGCGTTCTACTTTTTTTTTAAACACTGTTCGTGATCAGTGTTTTTAGTATTGATAGTTCGAATAAGAAGAGAATTTCTCCTCTACATTGTTATTCTTTGTTATTTCGAACATAATAGTTTAGTTGTGTTCACCGACCGTTTTCTCTTCACTAAATGTTTGTTGTTTCCGTGAAACATCGTCAACACCACTATGGTTTATTTTCGTCCTTGTTTTTCATAATTCCAAAGAGAAATTAATAATAATGAACAAGTCAAATTGAATGTCTATCAGAGATGGACACGGTTAGGTTCGGTTCTTAGTCAAATTGATGAATTTAGATCAGTATTTCAATATGTAAAGCAAGCAAAGTGATTAACAAAATGTGGAATCAATAACAATGAAAGTATTCATATATATTCTTGTGTTTCTTTGTGTAAGAAAAACAAAATGTTAACAAACCAAGTACATTCTTTAAGGAAAAAAATCATTTATTTAATGATCAATTAATAATTAAAAAGATTCCAACGAAACTACGGTAGTTCGAAGAATTTGAAGGATTTTCTTGGATTAAAATACACAGAAAACACTTTAGGATCAGTCGTGTTTGATTTTCAGCTGAGAATCCCAGAAACTATGCATATATCGGGTTAGGTATATCGATTAGTGTTACGATTTCTCAATTAAGTAAATAATTAAGGAGAGAAATTCTGTTACATCTAACATCTCGTTTCTTCGGGAGGCCTTTTATTATGGAGGAAGCTTTTGATACAGAATATTTTATTACAGGAGTAAGGGTTTAAATAATAATCTTTTGAAATTATACGAACGAGTTGAGACAAAAATAGATAGTTTTAGTTATCTCTGATGGGATTAAAAAATTTTTTTTTAGTTTGGTTTGAAGAGTTTCGGTTTCGTTTCGATTCGGTTCAGTTTAAATTTCGAAAAACCCGAACCGTGGCCATCTCTGATGTCCATGTTTTTCCATTAAAATGTCGATAATTCTATCGTGAAACTTTGTTGACGTGATTTTTTCTTACCATTCGGACCCGTTTGATCGACGATGGCACTGTGTTCATAATAAGGATGTGAGTGTGGCTGTGTGTCTATGTGGCGATAGGGGGGCATTGATGTCACCTATTATCCTGATCCACGTCCACACCTACACCGACGCCCCACATCCATTTTTTTCGTATGAGTATCATCGTCAAGTTTTTATTCATGCGGACAAATTTCACAAATATTGTTCAAAGCTATCATCTTTCTCTGAAATACAAAAATTGGCTGTACTTCAGGGTTTAAAAAATATCTATGAAAAATACTCCGACGGAGTTTGTGTGTTTGACTGCACGTTTTGCCCAAGAGTCAATCTCGACGAGGCAAAGAAAACCTGAAAGTAATATATGCTTGTGGCCTATTAGTCACAAGCAGGACTGACACAACCGAATGAGTGTGGGAAATGACGCCCCCCAATGTTGAGAAATTTTTGATTTTTCCTCAGCAGAATCTGGAGAAATTTGTTCTATTGCGTCTAGGCATGCACCAAAATCAAAATTCTTGGTTTTGAAGTATTGATTTCGATATAGTTTTGGTTTCAAAGTATTGGTTGTGATATAGTTTTGATAGTCTTGGTATTGGTTTTGACACGGTGTTGGTATCGATAGTATTGATTTTGATCAAATTTTATGATGTCTCGCCAAGAACTGTTCTAAATTTACTAACTTGAAATAGACTGCTAATATAATATTACGTATTAATGAAAACCATATCTTTTCTATTAACTGTACGCTTATAATGATCAACATATGATTTCGAAAACTATCAACATATTAATTTTAAAAGCACGGTCTGAATACTATATTTCTGACAAATCAAGTGTGAACTTTTCATGGCACTACCATACACAGCATTTAGAAAGTTTGGAAATTAGTACCGTAGTGCAAACAATTTTCCTTAATTTGAATAGGCGATTCCATGTAACTATAGATATCTGCAGCATCTGGAGAAACGTTTTTTATTCAATTAATATTATTAACCAAATAATATTATGATTGAGCTTGTTATCCACAAAGTAAAAGAAAAAGCCTACAATTACATAATTTATAATGATGTGCTTGTTAGAGTGTGTAGGGTATGAGGTGTGGATGTGGGGTATGGGTGTTAGTTTTGGTGTTGCTGCTATTGTTCTTTCTCACCTACACTCACACTTACTTCATTGACGAAAGATTAAAACCAGTCAAATTCACCAGATCGAAATCGGTTGATTAAGCAAAATAGTTTATTGATACATATGGAAGTTTGAGCACGAATCTAAGGGGGATAATTATCAAATGAGCGAAATTTAGCTACATAACGGCAAATTACAGTAGAAACGATCGTTTCAACGCCTTTCGCTCAGTGTCGTTTGTTAAAACTATTGAACTTTTATATTTTCTGCAATTTATTAAAAACAGTACATGTATAACTTATTCCGATGACCATTCTTGAGAATTTGGCTAATTAGGATAAGATATATTAAGTCCCAAATGTTTATAATTCATGAGTATACGCCGTGAATTTTGAATTAAAAGAAAAACAACTCATAGAAAGCTAAATCAATTAAAAGAAAAAAACTTATATAGAACCGAACGATGACTCTTGTTATTATTCCGAATGAAAACGACAGAACCGACATACATTATAATACATTGGTGTTGGTTTTGCAGTCAAGAAAATGACACCTATCACTTCTTGTATGCGAAACTCATTGACTCATCTATAGTTTTGATAAGGGAGGAGATGATGATGATCACTGAACATTTTTTGCTTTAAAATATTTTTTTTCAATAATATCTCAAAATCAAAACTAAAACCAAAAAAAAAAATCAAAACGATCGATATCAAAACTATATCAAAGCTAATATCAAGACCGTTAAAACTAAATCAAAACTAGGGGTGGCCAATTAACATTTACAAAAATTTATTTTAAATGTAAATTTTTGTTGGATGAAAATTTGTATTTATTTTGAATGTAAATTCTCAAAATTTAGATTCGTTGTAAATTGAAATTTTGGTGGGGGTGTGGGTGTGGGTGTGGTGTGGGTGTGGGTATTGTCGAGCAAAGAACCCGCACCACCCCACACCTACCCACATCCACACACCCTTCTATCTTGGTTTCGATGCTGAAGGACGAACGCAAAACGCAAACATTTTGATTGCATTTATTCGAAAAGAGGAAAGAGAAATGTTTGAGGCTTGCTCTTTTATTTTCGTTGTCAATAGCAGTTACAAAAAATGGTGTGCAAGCAAACATATACACAAACGAAGAGAACAAGTTGTTTTTCTGTTTTTGATTCCACGTGTAATTCATCAGGGACGAGTTTGTCACAATAATTTCTCCACTGAGTGAGTGACACCATGGCAGAAAAAGATGCTTTTTCTAACGAGACGGAAAACAAACATGAACGCTTCTTGGATGTTGGTCAAGAACCTCGACGAATGTTACAACCTATCGAAGGGTATCAAAAACTGTCACTCGTTCCCTTGGAAGACGCAGTCGAACCAATTGTCTTTTGTTGTCCTGACATTCGTCGACGTGTTTTCATTGCGATGTCAAATTGTGAAAATCCAACTGATGGACTAAGTCAAGATGAATCTGCTTCAATTTATCTTTACACGATGGAATGGGAACCTCGTGAAGAATGTCTCTATTACGTTTTAAATGCAACACTTCGAACTGAAAATCGACAAAAGCTTAAACCTTGGTTTCTCTATTTCAAACTGGTTCTCACAGCTCTTCAAAAGCTTCCACCTCAAAAAGCGACAATTTGGCGAGGTGTAACACTCGATCTAAGTCACGAATATGAAGTAGGAAAACGTTATGTATGGTGGGCATTCTCATCATGCACTGAATCGATTGCTGTACTCGAATCTGATTTGTTTCTTGGCAAACAAGGTACTCGAACATTGTTTAGTATTGAATGTAATGATGGAAGAATGATTCAATCTCATTCGTATATCAATGTTGAAGATGAGGTTCTTTTACTACCAGCTACTCAATTTCAAGTAAAGAGTAAATTGAATCCTGCGCCTAGTCTTCATATTATTCATTTGAAACAAGTCGAACCACCATTTCCTCTTATTGAATCTCCATCAAATACTCAAAATGTTCAACTAACAACAAATAAAGAAGTGACACCTTATCGAAACGAAAAACTCGAAAAATTGATTGCTGAATGCCCAATGCACAGTGTGATTGATCTGAATCAACAAGAACTGACCGATTTAGACATTCCGATTCTCATCGAGCGGAGCATTATTGAGAAACAATGTCGTTCTCTTTACATCCATAAAAACAAGATCACAAGCGAAGGAGCTCGGCATATTGGCAAGGTACTTGAATCGAATACATCATTAACAATTTTATCTATGTATACAAATCGAGTCGCTAATCAGGGTGTTCGTTGGATCGCAAAGGCACTTCACACTAATACGACACTGACTACACTTTCTCTTGGCAATAATGAAATCACTGAGGAAGGAGCAAAATATCTCGCTGCAGCCTTATACTTAAACGCAACACTACAGGTACTTCAACTTTGGGCGAATAACATCGGTGACACTGGCGCGCATCATCTCTCTCAAGCTTTAACTCAAAATAAAACGTTGAAAGACCTTAGACTTGACACAAATAAAATTACAGATCTCGGTGCCACGCATTTGGCTGACATGCTAAAGCAAAACAATACACTCAGCTATCTTGATCTTGCTGTGAATCGTATCACGAACGCAGGAATGTTGGTTCTCATGAGTTCATTGCGAACCAATGGAGGACTACAAAAATTGATTATCAACAATATCAATATCACGGATGAGTGCGTCGATGGCATCGAGAACATGTTCCAGTTCAACAAGGTTTTGACTGAATTGCATCTACGTAAAAAGTCATTCTCAAGTCAGCAGCAAGATCGGCTTGAGAAGATAGCCAAACAAAAGCAAAACGTTCAAATTATTTTTGTCGAATTCAACAATAACTAGCCGAACTCTTTTCTTCTTGTTTTCTTAAATATTTGAGAAAATACAAACTTCTTTCTCTACTCTACTATAAAACTAGGGGTGGAGGTGTGGAGTGTGGATGTCGGTGCGTATGTGGGTGTGTGTGGGTGTGTGGATGTGGGTNGGGATTGGATACTGCAATCCAAAACTTACTAGACCACAGACGATAACGGAAAAAGTCTTATCCAAAATTTATTATCATAATATTAGTTGAAGTATGATCAAATAGCATAGAAAAATAGAGCATTCTTTTCTCTATCAGGCTTATATAGAAAGAAAGATTTTTAAAGCTTACTATATGGCTAAGTAACGCCGTGATCAGAACTTTTGGTACACCCTAAGTATATATTATTCAGGTCCACAAATTTGGATGAGTTTGACAATGTGAATTTAATTGACCATGATAACCTTCAATATAATTGTTAGTTTTTGGTCAAATTCCTATGAGATCAAATAAATTCCAAAATAATAATTTTTGAAAATTATTCCATTATTACCAAATTGTGTAGTAATTGTAAAAAAGCTATCGTTGTTCGCGATGAACATTTTTTATTTAATTTACTTTACTTGTTTTTTGTTACTTGAAATACTTTCGTCCACATAAACGTTAAAAAAAGGCCTCGGCGGACAAGCCACATTCAACACGAGACTAGCTCGAAGGATGTGATATTCATTCTTAAACCGAGCTACCGACACTGATCACCCTTTATATATCTGTTTTCGCTTGTTTCCATAATGAGGACATTTTTGTCTCCTCTAATTAAGGAAAAATGGCCGCAAAGTAGAAGACATGATTCATTGTATACAAATCAGATGAAGAAAAAATAAATGATTTTATTCCATCAGTGTTTTTTAATCATATGGATATTCTGTTTTTTTTTGCACCAAGATTTTCTTTTCAGTAGCAAACAAAAAGGTTCTCGAAATAAGAAGGAAATAACTTTTTTTTTTTAAACTCGAAAATCAGTTCATGCTGAACATTATTTATTATCGTCATGGTAAACAAAAAAATCACATATAAATAAAAATCAATGAAAGTAAGAACTGAATCGAATTAGAACTCTCTGTAACATTTACATAATATAGTATGATCGATTTTCGTTTCAGCAGTCACTTATTTTCTACTATTTCTGGTTCAATTGATATAATTTTTTCATATAATGAAGTTTAGAGATGAAGTATTTCCAATATGATACAAATCTTGACGATTTCGGTGAGACTTCAAAAAAGTTGACGTAAAATAATTTTTATGGCACAAAAAACAGTTTTTCGAGAATCGGTGAATGATGCAATCAAAAATATTCATATCAGAAGTAGAATTTATGTCACAGTGTTCACAATCTTAGAATAAGACATGTTTTTTTAAGAATATCTAATTTTTCAAAAAATAATTGTCACTTTTAATCAGTTGTTAATAAAACTCGGATTTATCAATTGAGACCATGAGTCAAAGCTGTTTTAATTGAATAAAAAAATTTTGAGAATCAATTTTGTAATCATCGGTAAATTGACTATCAAATTATCAGTGTTCGATTCTGCATATTTATTGTCTTAGTTTTATTTGTTATAATTATGTTATATCCATCAATAAAAGATGAAATATATCGCAAAACAATATTCAATTCTAGTGAATCTCAATATATTGAACTTGAAAAAAGTTTATTCTGATATTCTCATATCTTTTTGTATTACACTATCGATGCCAAGCTTTTTATCATCAAATATGTTCAAGTTTTTTTTTTAATTTCTTCTCTTGGAATTATTTACTTCCTAGATATTCTTCTTCATGGATGAATGTTAAGGGAAGAATTAAAATGAGTACTGGATTTAGATTACTTCAAAAATGATGTAAATATTCTAATCAATCGATTGACAAAGCTCTTCGAATATTTCTTTAAATATAATTAATCTGTTCTCAAATAATTAAACAAAAAATTTTCGACTTAGAAATTGATTCAGTTATTGAAAACTGGAAAAATGAACTACGATTAATTGATTTCAACTTAGAGTTCAACTTATTCGAGCAACCAATTAAAGAAATAAACTTCGAAATAATTGTTTTTAATTTTAATTTTCAAATTAATCTTATATCAGAAAGAGTCAATGTAATATATGTGGAATTAGAGATAGGCAACTCCAACTTGGAGTTCGAGTTACCTCTGAATTTCAGATTTTTTTTCATTAGAATTGAAGTGGAATTGTCCAAATCTATGTAGAATATATATTAACCCTGTCACAAATCTATGTCAATTGGAAAAGTGAATGAATTTCTTTTAGAATATGTCGAAAAATCGACAATTCATAAACTTTTTACTACTTGTTTGCCACTTAAAGTATTGCTTAAATTGACATTAGAATGTTTTTATTAACAAACTTGTATAAATGAAATTTTGACTCATTTAACTTTGACTAAGATTATTAACAAAACATTTATCAATAAGACTATAATTAATATGATAAATCAATAGCCTAAAGAGACAAATGAAATGACTATGACTCAGTCATTAATCGTTTGATCATTAAATGTTGTTTTATTAATGTATTTGCTTAATCGTTCCTAATATTTTAATATATAAAATCGACGTCAAAGTTTTTTTATCATTTTTACTGTTAGCATTTTAGAAGGATTATCAGCAGGATTCAAAATTCTCAACTTGACTCTTATAAGGTTTTTTGAAAATATAATTAAAGATAAGTCTCGTTTTAATTTTGTACAATTTACTGAGGAATTTTTTTGGGTTCAAATGAAGAACAAATAACTAGTAGAAAACACTTAAACTTCATGTTATATTATTACGTATATTTTATTTCATCTATTTTGCTTCATCACAAGTAACAACTGTTCAAATTCCGAAACCTTCTCGATCCATTCGCCAAGGTTTATTAATCTAATTTTCTGATTTACTTCAAAGTTCTTGTTAAAAGATTTCATTTATTTATTAAACATTTGTGTATTTTGAACCAAGTTTTTGTCCAATTTGTTCGAGTGATTTTATTTTCAATGATTAGATCGTAGTTTCCTAATTGTGGCCGAAAATTAAGCCAATTAGTGAAAAATGGCCGCTTTTTGGAACGAAAAAAATTGTATTGTATCATTTTTATTGTGTTTCCAAAAAGCGGCCAATTTGCAATCAATTAATTCTCGCGAAATTGAATTATGATATGATTTGTGTATGATTGATATATATAAAAGGATGAGAAAGAGAATGACATTTCATTTGACATAAGGAATACTAACTTGACTTGGTCAACATCACAAAAAGGTGAACGAGTAATTTCCTATAATAATTATTTGTATCGATTGAAGCGTGAAAATCTTAATGGTTCATTCGTATATGTTTGTACTATTAAATCATGTCATTGTTCTATTACTGTGAAAAACGATACGATCTTAAAATGCAAAGGGACAAGTCACAATCATGATCCAAATAGTAGTGATAAGGAATAATGTTTTTTTTGTTCATGTAGTACTTGTATGAATAAATAGCTATACATATAAATCAATCTATATATACGTATAATTACTATCGACGTCAAAATATAATGCGTATCGATGTTTTTTGAATATCTCGAGAACGATAATAGCTAGAGACGTGCGGTTTTCACCATTCAAAAGAGAAATGTGGGGGAAGTAAAATGATACTAAATTATCATGCCTTTGTATTAGTCAAGCTGGTCAATGCTCCTTGTAGATATTGACCAGCAGTTTTCAAAAAAAGTTTCCATACCAACTATCAACTCTAATTTAGTGCATCGATAGCGCAGACATTTGTAATTGGATCTACGCAAGGCTCACCCTTCTATCTTATTCCGTTTAAAAGTTATAAGCATTTTACTAATGACCTTTCGGACCGGTATTGGACGGTTTTTGAGAGAATAGTTCCGTTTGAGTTCACACAAATAAGATATTTGAAATCAGCACACAAAATACTATCTATTTATGTATGTTTCAAATCCGTCTCGGGACTTTTTTTTTCGGTCAAATTTTGACCCCCTGGTCCCCCTCAGGGATAAATAGGTCGAAAAGGGAAATTCAGTGAAAACAACTATTTATTAGTTAGTGATGAGTCTTTTTATCTTGAAATATCGTTTTACAGGTTCAAAACCTATTTTTGACTATTTATATAATATTTTTTATTGAATTTCCTTTTTCGACCTATTTATCCCTGAGGGGGACCAGGGGGTCAAAATTTGACCGAAAAAAAAAGTCGCGAGAAGGATTTGAAACATACATAAATAGATAGCATTTTGTGTGCTGATTTCAAATATCTTATTTGTTTGAACTCAAACGGAACTATTCTCTCAAAAACCATCCAATACCGGTCCGAAAGGTCATTAGTAAAATGCTTATAACTTTTAAACGGAATAAGATAAAAGGGTGAGCCTTGCGTAGATCCAATTACAAATGTCTGCGCTATCGATCCACCAAATTAGAGTTGATAGTTGGTATGGAAACTTTTTTTGAAAACTGCTGGTCAATATCTACAAGGAGCATTGACCAGCTTGACTAATACAAAGTCATGATAATTTAGTATCATTTTACTTCCCCCACATTTCTCTTTTGAATGGTGAAACCGCACGTCTCTAGCTATTATCGTTCTCGAGATATTCAAAAAACATCGATACGCATTATATTTTGACGTCGATAGTAGTATATTATGTTTGTTTGTTTTTTTTCTTATTTAAACAGTGGCCGCTTTTTGGAAACAATAAAAATGATACAATACAATTATTTTCGTTCCAAAAAGCGGCCATTTTTCACTAATTGGCTAAATTTTCGGCCGCAATTAATACGTAGCCATATCTTATTAATTTTGTTTTTAGAAATTAATTAGGAAGGAATTTTTACTAATTAAAAATGACGCTAAAACTAACGTCAACATTTTTCTTGAGCTTTTAAAATCGTAAAGAATCTCTTTCGTTTATTTGAAAAATTTCTACGCTTAGACATAATAAAAAAAAAGACTCGACGTCTTCCATTAGGAGGAGAGAGAGTTTATAAGAGTGGTGACACTCAGCCCTCCCTTACTACTTTATAAGAAATCTTGACAAATAATACAAACATCAATCATTCGATTAATAGATTTTATCAACATATGAATTAACTCAAAAATATACATAGGGGCGTCAAAAAGTTCTCGTAATAGCACCCTAATATTTCACCCTGATTGATTTTATTTCTGATGTTGGCCTATTCTAGTAGTGACATCTGTTATGTCTTAAAATACTAATACGATGTTTCACAAGTGTCTATTATGACTAATATTTAATCAACTTTTTCAACACTTCTGTTTTCAAATGGACAAACTATGTATTCGGTCATATATAAAAACTCGTTGGTTATTACGTTTAACTGCTACACAAGTTCATGATGAACTAACTGCTGTTGGGTTTTTTTCATTTAATCTTCTAATTTGAAGGTAAAAAGATATTTTTCAATATATGCATTTTTTGTCTTGTTATTGGCCTACCGATAGATAAGAATGGAGGTAGAAAGTGCTTTTCATAAAACGTACGAATTTTTTTATGCAGCTAGTTCGTGACAATAGAACATAGAAGTCGCTTGTTAAAAATTTTAATTTTTTACTAGTATAAGATAGAAATTTATTGTTTCATAAAATTCCGTTTTTTTTTAAAGTTCAATAATAGAGATAGAGAAAAATATACACTCATTAAAATACATGCACTAGTGTTTTCGTCTTCTATCAGGTACATATTTAACCCATAGATATTACTATCCATACAGTAACAAGCCTGTAACGGTAGAAGAGAGAACCTCTTTTTTTTTTTATATATAAATGCATAGTTTTTCCGTTAGACACTCAATTCTTGTCATAAGATAGGTATCTCGTTTTCAATAAATATAATTCTTTTTATGATTAACTAGTTATTCCGGTCAACTAATCAGAGAGTAGGACCAGTAAGATTAGAAAAAAATCGTACGAAAAATCACGTCTGAAAAATATAAATGAAGTCATATTGTAAGATGCGTGCAAGATCTTACCGACACATAGGTAGTCCTAAGATCTTATAATAATATCTTACAAGCAAGCAAGATCTTGTGCGCATCTTACAACATCACTCGATGCGTGTTTTTCAGACATCACGGTTTTCATACAATTGCGTAAGGCAAAATTTAAGATCTTATAAGATATTAGCATTGGATTATTCGTCTTGAATAGGTCATAGAGGTAAAAGGACGAATAATTATTATCTAACACGAGTCTACATTTTTATCGAATGTTTCGTTATGAGGATAGAGATGCATCCAAATGGTATTCAAGTGTATTTTCCCTTTTTAATGAATAGTTCATCCATAAGGTAGACAGGAACATTTCTTATCTGATATAAATTAGTTAGATGATTTTAAATCTTCACTTTTAAACAAGTTTAAAACTGTTCCTTTATCAACTGATCTTTCCTTAATGTTAACTCAAGAATTAGTGTAGCTAGGTATACATTGAATCTAAAAATAATATTTCCACTGTATAATCACTTTCTTTTTGCTCTAGTTCCATAGAGATGCTTTTTAATTAGTATATTTTAAAGCTAAGTTTCTACGAAATCACATTACACATTCAATTGTATAGAAATAATAAGTTTCAGAATTCTAAGTCTTCACCGTAAATATATGAAAATAATATAATTGTTATCTAGAATAATATCATTCACAATTTCTCCAAAGCATATTCCCAATTGTCGAGTACTTTAAATTTTCTATGTGCACACATCTGATCAACAAATGAATAATCTCTGTAGTATTCAAAAATTTAATCGCAGAAAAAGCCTTAGCAGAAAATTTAAAGTATTTCACAAGTAAGAATATGCTTTGGAGAAATTCTGAACGATATTATTCTAAATAACACTCATATTATTTTCTTATATTTTCGGTGAAAACTTAGAATTCTAAACCTTATCATCTCTATACAACCGAATGCGTAATGTTATTTCATAAAAACTTACCCTTAGAATACACTAACTAAAGAGCACTTCTATGCAACTGGAGCAAGATAGACAAGTAAAACCTTTTATGTACCAAATGCGCGTGTTTGGACAGCATTAAATTTTCTCAATTTTTGTGGAAAAAAATTTACCGTTTTTTGACATAAAAAATTTTGATGCCAAAAATCTGCACGGACGGAACAAACTCAATACCAAATCGTACACACATTTTTTTAAGACTAAATTAGTATAAAAAGTGGCATGTTTGTCTGCTTGGGCAGATCTATTTTTTCTTCCTGAATTTGATCGAAAAAAAAAAGTTCATACTAAATTAAATTTCGTTGATTTATTCACTCAATGAAGTGATTGGCGCAAGAGAACAATATTCGTCCGAATTTTAATGCATGTTTGTTCGACTAATTCAGTTTTTTTTCCTGCTAGTCATTCTATTGAAGACAAGATGGGCTGATAAAAAAAAAAAAAAAAAAAAAAAAACGACCAGTGAGATCATTGGCATATAAATAGTTCTAACAAAACAATTGTTTCATTTGACGTGCATGTTTTTATATAATGGCAATTGATCGTGTAAGTTATGATAAGACAGTCATGATGATCGTACCATTTCCAATCGAATATAAAACACATGAAATTTTTTACATGTTATTTTTTGTTTTACACAATGATTTTTTTTTCCACAATATTCTATCATTTCTAATTACTTATCATTGTTTCTTTTTTTAATTTTAGCTCATTGAGGTAGTGAATACGATTGATGATATTGACAATTTTAAAAGGGCAATCTACGAAAAAAGCCAAAAAAACGATCCAAATGATCCTGTTACAGAACAAGACCTTGACAGATTATTAGCAGATGCTGCTGCTCGACCAGCTTTGGTGGACGAGCAACAAAAACTTCGTGCTGGTGAGTCAATACTATTTTAGTATTGAATGTATATATTTCTAAAATTTACCCATTTTAGAACGTATTCGACGTCGGATTGTTTAACCGTTGTTTTTGTTCATAAAAAGAATCGCATGTTCTGGAATATGATCTTTATTTCATCATCTTTCCTTATGTTGTTTCTATTCTTCGAATTCCAACATAATGGAAAAAATAAAATCATAAGAATTTATAAGAAGCATAAACTAATTTTGTTTAAATATTTATTATCGAAAATGGTTTTCCAGAATCAAAAATAAGAAGAAGAACGACAGGGATAAATAAAGAATCAATTTTCTCTTGTTCGTGTTTAGTATTTGTTGTTTTTCTGCATGTTTCCAACAAGTTCTTTGAGTTCTAAACCTTCACGTTGACATATATCAGTCATATATTATTTAACATGATGTTCAAAATCAGATGCGATAGGACTTTATCAGTCAATCTGATATTCGACAACATTTTACAATTATTAATACTTCTACGTATTAGTATTATTTGATTTAATCGCTTTTTTCCCCTCATATTTGAACAGAAGCCTATTCTTCATTATCATCCTTTTTATTTAATTTCACCATTAATTAATGTTTTCAAGTCTGTACGAAAATGATAAATTAGAAAAGCAACTACATTAAAATAATCACCATCTATTTTCTTGACCAATGTTGCACCCTAAGATTGAATATCATAAGCTTCTGCTTTATTCATTGATTCACCGGTTTCAATATAAGCTCGAATAGTTTCATCATCAATTGAACCAAATGTAACATCAGTTGTTTCGAAAAATGTTTTCATTGTCATATCTCCTTGTAGAATACATACACCAGTAAATACTTGATGTGTATTATTAGAAAATGTTTTAAGTATACGAAAATCATCATCTTTATCAGATGGTTTTCCATATACAATATTATTTAATGAACAATCTACCAGCACCTATAATAATTAAATTTTTTTTCTCATTCTCATTTAATTTGATTTTATTATAGACATGATGACATTTATGTTCAGCTGTAACATATTGAGAAAGATTTTCTTTATATGATGAAAGATCAAGATCTTCAGCAAACTCAGAAACAGTTATATCAAAATTTAAGCCAATCGATTGAAGTAATTGTTTACGTTGCGGTGAACCACTAGCTAATATAATTCGTTTTTGTTGAAGAATATGTTTCAATGGTTGTAACATCTAGAATAGTATAGATGCATATAAAGATTTATTTGTCTTTAAAATATAAAACAATAATAGACAGAGGAATAATTAAATTTTTAAATTCGGATGGAGTTAAAGTTTCTATCACAGCTACTATAAAAGATATCCCACACATTTTAAACATATAAGCTGATTGAAAATTGACAAGAATAGAAATATATGTTAAATGTGTTCTTCTCCAAATGGTCGAAGTATTCATGTAAATCAATTTGAAAAAATAGTCAACCATATAGCAATATAACTAGACAACGGGAATATCACATCGATAATTATATGGTATAAGTTTTAATTTTTTTTTTTTTTTTTGTTAAATAATAAAAATGATAAACATGATTGAATGATATAAGTAAATGGTTGATTATCCAGTTGAAATAGATTAAAATATTATTGTAAGAATTGACTTGTTTATTTAAGGTGTTATAATAAAGTTATATCTGAGATAAACATATTCGAATTGTCAATCATATAGTTTTTCCTAATATAAAACATTATTTTGTCAAACAGCGAAGAAAACTTACAATTAAATTCTAACTAAGAAAAGATTTTGTTTTGAAATATATTTCTATAAATTAGTTCTGATATAAATAGGATAAAACTTTATAAAAGATCTATATAAATCGATGAAGATTGAAATGTTAATTGTAGATAAATTGGTATTGTAGAAAAGTAAACTGATATAGAATCTATTGATGCTATTACAAATGATTGACTATTTGAACATGATTAGAAACGTTTTTATATAAATATTATCTTGTCTTGATTTATCTTGATTATTTAACTGTATTTCGTTGGATACTAATCGTTGACTTGACAAAACACATAGATCAGTTATTTTGTTTTTTATTAATGCATTTTTTGATAGATATTATCATGATGAAAATGTAACAAGAAATTTAGAAACAAAGTGACATTGATAAGCATAGAAAAGGCTGAAGAAAGAAAAACAAAAGAGAATAATAATTAAATTTGAAGAATTAAAATATTGAAATGAATAGTTAACTTATTCAATTGAAACAAAAAAAGAAAAAGAAAAATCTTGTTAAAATCTTTAAAAAGATGAAAGAGAAATAAAATAAGTTAAAGAGAGATGAATTATAAATAAAATATGCATTTATTATCTTTCCTTGTTTTTCTTCCTGCGAACATCAAATTGAGTGTAACATTTTCGCAATGATTATTTATTTAATATTTTTTTTCTTAAACTCCTAACACCATTTCATAACGAAATGAAAGCAATAAAGCAAAGGGTTTTATCATAAGAAAGATATATATGATAATATAATCGATAGGTCAATTGATAAGACTATGAAAAACAAGGGCATGTTTTTTTAAAATTTATTCGTTAATATGTCTGAACAATTTTTAACCATGATAACAATAATTTGATTCGTTTTTATAAACCATTTGAATAACTATAGAGATATTGATTGAACAAATAAATAAGTCGTAATTGTTCTAGTGATCTCTCAGACGAATATCACTCGGAGAAGAAAAAAAACACACGAACTAAACATAATAATTGATGATAGTATTTAGATTGATAATCAGCATGTTTCATTTGTAAAATGAATCATATTAAAACAAAACTATATGAAATGGAATCATATTTATATATAAAATAATGATAATTAGTGAAAATATTTTTTTTAACAATAGATAGATATGAAACTGTGTAAAGACAACGTAAGATTTCATAATAAATAACTAATTAAAGAAAATTATTTATAGTTATTGAAAAATTGTTAAGCTAAAATACAAATAAAGATTTTATAATAACTTGTTGAAGAATATTCGAGGAAAATCTCAATGTTCGAATAGGAATATCTCTCAACAAGAATAGATTATAGTCAAAACTTATCATGTTTTCACTAGAGACCAAACAGAAACAACCTCATACTCCTAAAACGAATAATTCACTATCTATCCTTTAATAAAATGTTTTTTTTTGTAGTTTCAATTTATCTATCTTCTAGCTATTATTTCTCACAATATCAGATAACTTTTTTTATGTTGAGCATGTTTAGGTTATATTTGAATAATAATCATGTGTTATTATTATTTAAAAGTATAACAAAAACTAAATTCTACACAAGTGGTTCTAATCAAACTTAAAGACAAACGTAAAGATCGCAACGGTAGTAAATTTTGTTTTTCTTGGCTTTTTTTAAAAATATCTTATCATCTGTATGAAATTCGTGTCCTGTGACATAGAATAAATAAATAGTAATGATGAATAATAAGCTGATATAATTTGTTCGATTATTCGTAATCGATTAATCATAGGAAGAAGATTGACGTATTTACTAATAAAGAGAATATTAAATATAGAATAAACGCTGTTAACTATTTAAAAAACTCCGATTAAAACATATTAAATGTAATAGTAGAAGTATATTGACTATTTTATTTAAATAAATTCTATAGAATAGAAAACGAAAGAGAATAAATCGAATTGTTTTCATTTTTGTTTCTATGTTTCCTATAATAATTTATAGTTGATGTATGACGTGAAAATAAATAAAAAATCTTGTAAATCTCTTAAGGAAAGTAAATGATTTAATCTATAGTAAATAAGGATAGATTGAGATAAATAGATATTATTATTCTTTGACAGTGATCAACTCTAATTAAGGACATTTATTTTGACAAAATCAATCCTTCTCTTCCTATGAGCTTTTTATATTGAAATTGATTAAATCTTTTTCATTCTCTTTACAGAGAAAGAAAATGACAACGAATACTTTCAGATGTGTTGAAAATTCTATCTTAAAGTGAACTATCCTTCTAGAGATCAAACGCCTTTCCAAGCATCATTTTTAGAAGTGAAACTATGGGATTCGTTTCCTTTTTTTTTTTGAACACGGAACCGTAAAGTTTAAAAAAGTAGTTTGAACCGAAAAAGCAAAATAATTGTAAATGTCTTTGTAAGAGTTCGAGAAGGAAAAGAGATGAAAAGCTATGAAAGCATATAAAAATATTCTCAATAATTAACGAACAATTTTTCAAATATCTGACCAGTAAAAATAGTTCAATATTCGACTTACTTCAATGACTTGTGCACCTTTGAAAATATTATTTTATTTGCCAAGCTCATCGATGAATAATTCGACAATTTAGATTTCTACTAAAGAGATTAAATAAAGACCATTACGAAACATATAAATCATCGAAAAACATCTTAATTACAGAATTGTTTTCAAATAAAAGCTGACTGATAGGGAAGAGAGCAAATGTAAGAAATAAAATGTTCTTTATGAGAAAATGTTTTACGATATATTTGCCTATTGAAAGATTTTCGATTAGAGTACACAAGGGGAAAAGTGCAGGTTGCGAACCCCCAACACCTAGAGCACCCACAGCACCTGTTCAGCACCTACAGCTGCTCTCATTATGAGCATCTTCAGTACCTTCAGCACCTGACCAGCATCTTCAGTGCTTTTTCGACACTCTCCGGTGAAAATTGGTGGTTAGCTGCTGCAATCACCTTGACAGTAGCTAACCATCAATTTTTACCGCAAACTGTCGAAAAAGCACTGAAGATGCTGCTCAGGTGCTGAAGGTGCTCATAATGAGAGCAGCTTTAGGTGCTGTGGGTGCTCTAGGTGCTGAATAGGTGCTTAGGTGCCGAGGTGCTGGGGATTCCCAACCTGCACTTTTCCCCTTGAGAGTACAATTATATTGAATCAATTAATACGTTTGATTCATAGTCAAACTATATTTATTTAACCAGTCGATCATTAAAATAGGGTTTTCATAGCAGACTTATTCTTTTCTATTTGTCAATATCAGAGATGGGCAAGTCAAGTCAAAAATGACTAAATGAAAGCTTTTCTTACAAAAACTTCTTCGAATGTTGGTAAATTCTTTTGTAGCTATCCTAGTATTGGCCGGGGACCAACTACCGCCAACATGGGAGCGATCCACAGAAAATCGAAAACGATTTTTGGTGCGGAACAATACATTGGAATACAACTCTGTTTTCACTAATTTCGATAAAGCAATGAAAGGAAACTATACCCAAATAATAAAACTCGAACGTATTCAAAATAGAACATGGTTTATCCAATATTTAGCTCACAGCCAAGAATTTGAAAAAAGACTCAAGAAAAATACTGAAAAGCATTTATATCATGGCTGCCCTGAACAAGCAGCAAATTCAATTATAGATACTTATTTCAATAGGAGTTTTGGTGGAGTGAACGGTGAGTTTTGTCTTTTTGTAGAAGTTTCGGTTTCATGTGAATGCATTTTATTTTCAGGAATAGTATATGGTATTGGTGTTTATTTTTCATCGAATGCAGCCTATAGTCACCACTATGCTGTATCAAATGCCAATGGAGAACGATGCATGTTTCTTGCACGTGTTCTGGTTGGAGAAACAACTCTTGGTCATAAGTCGATGAAAGCTCCGCCTAAAGGATTCGATTCAACAACTGATCGGAATCATATTTTCGTCACTTATCATGATGCACAAGCTTATCCCGAATATTTAATTACTTATCGGTAGAGCTCGACCACTATTGTTTGACGTCTGTGAAATAGTGTTTTTGGTTTCTGCAAAGCAGGCTCTGAAATACTATGGAATCATTTTTTTTCTAAAACACAATGAAATTCTCTACGAATTTCTATATGCAAAGATACGAATACTTTTACACTTTAAAAGTCCTTTCCATATATACTCGAGATTTGGTTCTTTTCTTGAAAAAAAAAGATACTACTTGCTCAGTTGCTAAATGTCCAATCGGATGTTTCATTTTGAGTGCTGCTACCAATTTTAGTCAAGATTCCAAAACTCTTATTGAAAAGACATACATTATCAGGATCTTCAAATAATGATTAAAGGATTGTCCATTGGTAAGTCAGCTATAACAAGCACAAGTGTCTCAGACGATTTTCTCATCTGGCCCATTTTGTAAAGCACTCTTTTTGCGGATCATTTCGGCGAAAAAAAGAGTTCGACATTCGATCGAATAAGTACGAAGTTATGCTCGAAACACAGAAAACTCTCACGTAAGCTGAACAGATGCGAGAATTTCAAATATTCTGCGTATACCATGATTATTCTTCGACGAAAATCGACAATGTTTTCCTTCGAATGATCAGTTAAAAGGATTTCACAAAATGGCCATGATGAAAATATTTCTGAGACACAGACGCTTTTTGTCTCTAAATACTATTGGAATTCCTCAGTTAAAAGCTTAATCAGTGGAACTATAAATGGTTATAATGTTGCAAAATGTGACACTATAAAGTCAGTAGTGGAGAAACGGTGCTGCCAAACTAAATAAGACATTTACGAAATAGTAGAAAGTTTTTATTAAATGCTTGACTAAATGTGAAGACCTTTAATGATCACAAAAAAGGCACGATGATTCTTACGCATTGGTATAAAACTTTGAGTGTGCTTGCGAGAGTGGGTAGATGTGGAAATATTTTTTGAAACAACAGCTATTGACATATACTATTATTAAAAGTGAAAAAAAAACAGAAAACACGTAAATTCGAGAGAATTTAAGGTTTTGAAAGTTGTCAAATATGTTATCGAAAATTTGTGAATATATCAACTATTGATACTTGAAATATGCTTGCTCATTCATGTGTTAACAATTTATTCAATGCAATTAGATGAGTGGTTGATAATTTATGGACTGACTTTCTTCCTCCTAACTCAATACATTGGGACCTCTGATGTACGCGTACATTTTACTAGATTAAACAAAATATCGAAAGACATTTGTTTTGAATTTCTATTAGGAACGCACGAACTGCCTCAAGGCATTAAACTAGGAGTTTTAAGTATTATTACTTTATTGTATTCCCTACTACGCAATATTTTACTTGCATATTGCGATTGATTTAGGAAGAAAAATAGTGCGACATCTATTTCTGTTTTTTGTCTTCTGAAAATCTTCGTCGTAATATGTAAAACTTGAATAAAAAAAATTTTTCAACCCAATTTAATATAAAACATTTTTTTATTAATTATCATTTCATGAAGGATCTCATTCTAGAATTTCTATTGTATTCTAGAAAGTGACGAATGAACAAATGATTAATATGAAATCATGCTCATCATCGTATCTGATTTTTTTTGCGAATTTAACAGTAATAATGATTAATCTGTAAAATATTTATTTATTTTTTTTTTTTTGTAGACTATAATAAGTTTTTCTCCAATAAACAAATAAAACATGGGCACATCATATGGGACCGGAGCAAAACCTGATCAAGAAGTTCGAGTATGGATGGATGGTTGGTGAGTTTTTCAATTTTTCTTCTGAAGAAATATCTCTTGGATTTATGTAAGCTATGATATGGTACATTTTGGTCATGCAAATGCATGTCGTCAAGCAAAACAAATGGGAAATTATTTAATTGTTGGTGTTCATTCAGATGGTTTGTTTCTATGTCTAATGAAATTTTCGGAAACAAAAAAAAAACTAATAATATATTATTTTATTTAGAGGAAATAACTAAACATAAAGGTCCACCAGTATTTACAGAACAAGAAAGATATAAAATGGTTCGAGCTATAAAATGGGTTGATCAAGTTGTTGAAAATGCTCCCTATGTAACAACATTGGAAACATTAGAAGAATATAATTGTGCGTTTTGTGTACATGGAGATGATATCACAGTAAAAACAATACGATTAATTTGTTGTTTTTCTTTAATAAGAATTTTTTTTTTCAGGTAACTGCTGATGGTATTGATACATATCATATTGTCAAAGCAGCTGGTCGATATCGTGAATGTAAACGCACACAAGGTATATCAACAACTGATCTTGTTGGAAGGTTTGTTTAAATGATAAAAAACGTTTTTTTATTGTTATTAAAATTATTATTATTATTATTAAGAATGTTACTTGTTACAAAGACTCATCATGAACCTGATGATGCATTACTTGATCGAGAAAATACACGTCGAATGAGCTTATGTAAAGAAAGTGTTAGTCCATGGACAGGTGCTTCACAATTTCTTGCAACAACTAATAAAATTATACAATTTTCAAATGGTCGAGAACCAAAAGTAAATAGAAGAATCTAATAAGTAGAATACTAAGTCAGATATCGATCTGTATATATATGTTATATTTTATAATAGAAAGAATGAATGATCGATAATAATATATGGTAGATACTAAAACTTGCAATACAATTTGTATTATTTCAGAATTGATGGAACGAGCTTTATCGTTAAATTGCTATTTGGGATTTACTAGGCTTATACTTCGAATAAATGTAAAACATTCTGAATGAATTACTAGAAGAGATAAGCAGTTTTAGTTTACTGATCACCGACTTAGTGTAGTCAGTACACACTAGTACCACTGTTCATTGAAGTATTAGAACATATTGATATAAAAAGAGCGTATTTTGAGAGAGTTGATATCTCAATGTTGAAGCGAACGCGAATGTCCGTGTAATCGACGACTTACTGTTCAATGTTTACACTAATATTACACGTCCCTAACTCAAAGACTAAATCCCTTTTTAATATTTAATGTCTTGATAACTGTTAATACTTCTCAAAATACATTTTAGTTGATTGAATTATAAAAAGTAATTTCTAAAAGTGTTTTTTTTTTCTTTAGTTATAAATCTTGATAGTAATAAAAAATAACTTGCATATTAAGATAAGACCTTGAAATGAGGTTATTATTTATTTTTTGATTATTATTTAGCCTGGTGATAAAGTAATTTATACTGCTGGTGCATTTGATTTATTTCATGTTGGTCATGTTGATTTTCTTGAAAAAGTTAAAACATTTGGTGATTATCTTATTGTTGGTATACATACCGATCGAGTAACAATTATTTTATATTAGTAATATAAAATAAATATCATCCTACTTTTGTTTGTGTTCAGGTTGTTAATCGATATAAAGGAAGTAATCATCCAATAATGAATATTCATGAACGTGTATTAAGTGTATTAGCTTGTCGAGTAAGATAAAATGTTTATTTAGATGTTTCTTTTTTGAAAATACAAAAAATACTTTCTTTTTTTTTTTCAGTATGTCGATGAAGTTGTTATTGGTGCACCGTATGCTGTTACAATGGATTTAATGAATCATTTTAAAGTATCACTTGTTATTCATGGTCAAACAGCTTATGATAATGATATTGATGGACATGATCCGTATGAAGTACCGAAAGGTTTGGGTAAATTTCAACAAATCGATAGTGGAAATTCAATGACAACACAAGATATTATTACACGTATTATTAATAATCGGTTTGTTGATTTGAATTTCATTTTTTTTTTTTTTTATTTAAATTTATTTTTATTTTATAGATTAACTTATGAAAAACGTAATAAAAAAAAGGAAGCCAAAGAAGCAGCTGCTTATGCGGCATTTCAAAAAATGAAAGACGAAAATCTTCAAGAATCATCAGCTGTTAATATAGAACAAGAAGAAGCAACAAAATTTGACTAATTTGCATTTACAAAAAAAAAAAAATAACGAACTTGTTTTAAGCAATCTTTTTTCGTATTGTTTATTCTATTCATTCTTGCATTATATACTCAATATTGATAAATATTCGTTGGTGTTGTTGTTTGCATTCTTTTTTTTTAAAGACATATTATTCCATATTGTAATTGATATTGTATTTCTTTTTAGACCTTTAAAAAAGAAAAAGAAAATGGTTAAAACAAAAGGAAAAAATAAGAAAAAAAAATTAGCAAAAAAAAAAAAAGAAGATAATGAATATGAAGATATGGAATCAGAAGATATAACTGCTAGTGGAAATGATAATACTACCCAAGAAGTTTATTTACCAGGTGATCCATTAGATGAAGATGAAGAACTTGTTCGAGAAGAGAGTGCATATGAAATGTTTCATGAAGCACAAACAGGCAAGTATGTGTATGATATTGATCGAAAAAAAAATTTATCAATGAATTTTTTTTTCTAGGTGATCCATGTTTAAGTTTTGATATATTACCTGATAATTTGGGTATGGATAGAAATCAATATCCACATACAATATTTATTGTTTGTGGAACACAAGCAGAAAAATCTGATCGAAATAGTGTTATGGTTGTTAAAATGTCAAATTTAACTAAAACTATAAAAGTAAGAATTACAATAAAACTTCTCTATAATCAGCATTTTCTTATACTGAGCAGTTTATTGTCATAGTGATCGCGAATTGAATAAGATTGGACAATTTTAATGCTTGAAAGAAAGAACACTATGAGCAATAAGTCGAATTAATTATTGAATTGAGTAAATGAGCAAGATGTGTTCGTGGGTACTTCAACTTCTTGAAGAGTATTGGTTATTAACATAAGCTTTCATTTTGTGCAGATGAGAAATGTCATTGAATCGAATAAATGTTTTGTTTTTATTTTTTGGCTAAATGAAATTTGAAAATAAGCAATTTTGACGAAAAATTAGAATAAAATCGATTAGAATGATGTTATTTAATTCTGATTTTCCAGCTTTGAAGATAGATTTTTCAATTGATTTTAGTCTTTTTCGAATGCTTAATAGTTTTATGGAATGAAAATTTTTTTTTTAAATTGATTAAGAAAGATTAAAATCTTATGAAATCTATCTTGAAAGTTGAAAAATAAGTGTTTTTTGGTTGTCTTATGTAAGAAATCTTCTTTCGTGAAAAAAGAAATAAAGTTCGAACTGAACGACTCTCTTCAACCATAGTCTGTAGTCCATTCCAAATGAATTTTACTAGAAAAAGTCAAAAATCAATGAAACTGAAAGTTTGTTTTTACTGGCGACTGAAGAACTGTACAAATGTTGCATAATCGAAAGTCGGAAAGATCAATCTATGATTATATTACTAGTGAAATATGCATATTTTTCACAATTGGATGAAAAGAGAAGTTAAAAATAGCTAAACACTTTATCACGGCTCCTGAAAAACAAACTTTTTTTTTACCATAAAAGACAATTTTTCTTATAGCAGTTGCCCGATGACGAGTCTCCAGTATTTAATGTATGTCTTAAGACTTGTGAAAGAAGAAAGAATAATTGGCTGAATGCTATTGGAGATACGATCGATACAAACAAATGAGTATTATCAATTTTCAATATTCGCACGAGTTTTCAGCTCAGTAGAATTAATAGTCAGAATTTTATTTAACTCTAATTAAAAACATTGAATTAATAAATTATTGCAAAAGAAGAAAAAGACTGTCTTGTGCAGCCAACAAGCGGTTGCAACTGATTCTTGGTTAAGTCTTTTGTATAATAATATAACGGTCAGCATTGAGTTTAGAGTAGAATGATTCGTTACTCATTTTCGCTTATTGAGGTCTAACAATCAATATCAGATCTCAAATTTTGATTAAAAGGTGTCGCAACGATGTTTTTTTTTATTTCATTTATGTATTAAAGTAGTTATGAAGAAATTTATTTTATTCGTAACTCCTTAGTAATTTCGAAATCAATATTGATATTCACAGAAAATTTTCTATTTAGGAAAATTCACCAGACACAGAATCAGATGACGATGATGATGATGAAGAAGAAGAAGATATGAAACCAGAATTTGAATCAGTTTCATTAAAACATATTGGTGGTATTAATCGTATAAGGGTAAGTAAATAATAACAAATAAATATTCAACTAATAAAAAAATAAAAACATTATTTTTTTTTTTGTTAGTCAACAGTTATTAATGATCGTAAAATAGCAGCAACATGGTCCGATACAGGCAAAGTCCATATATGGGATTTAAGTCGTTTACTTCATGCTGTTAACGATTCATCTGTTATGGCAACTTATGTTCGTAATCAAGAATCACCTAAACCATTATTTACATTTAATGGACATATGAATGAAGGTAAGAAAAAGTAAAAAAAAAAAACAAACATTTTCTTCTTCAAGAAAAAAAACTATTTGTTTGTTAGGTTTTGCTATGGATTGGTCACCGACGGTACCAGGTAAATAAAAATTTTATGTAATTAATTTAGAAACAAAATAATATTGTTTTTTTTTGTTAAAATTTATTAGGAATGTTAGCAACAGGTGATTGTTCAAAAAATATTCATATATGGAAACCAAATGAAACAGAATGGCTTGTTGATCAAAGATCCTATATTGGTCATACATCATCAATTGAAGATATTCAATGGTCACCAAATGAACAGAGTGTAAAGACAAAAAACACAATACATATTTTTGTCCTTTAATAATTTTTTTCTATTTAAAGGTTTTTGCTTCGTGTAGTGTTGATCGAAGTATTCGTGTATGGGATATTCGTGCTATACCATCAAAAGCTTGTATGTTAACAGAATCTGATGCACATACATCTGATGTTAATGTTATTAGTTGGAATAAGCATGAACCATTTATTATATCTGGTGGTGATGATGGTTATATTAAAGTTTGGGATTTAAGACAACTTTCTGTATGTAAAAAAAATTGTCTTTAAAATTTGAATTTTTATTTTATTACATTTAGAAACAAACACCAGTAGCTTCGTTTAAACATCATCGTTCATCAATAACAAGTGTTCAATGGCATCATACAGATTCAAGTGTATTTGCTGCAGCTGGAGCTGATAATCAAATAACATTATGGGATTTAGCTGTAGAAAAAGATGATGAAGAAAATAAAGAACAAACAGCCAATAATAATCAGTTAGAAAATTTACCAGATCAATTATTGTTTATTCATATGGGACAAACAGATATAAAAGAAGTTCATTGGCATAAACAAATACCTGGATTAATAATTAGTACTGCCCTATCCGGTTTTAATATCTTTAAAACGATCAGTGCTTAAATATTCAGTGTATTTCTTTTTCCGAAATAAAATTAAAACAAAGTTTCGTTAAGTTTATTCGATAAACTAAATTGACTATGAAAGTGTATTAATATACATATATTCACTTTTGTTTTTGCCTATAATATGTCATGATTAAGTAAGAAATCAATAAGTCGTAAAATACAGTTAAAGCAAAATTGCTAAAAAGTCAGTTGAGCAAGAGCAGTAATTAATGAAGCAAAAATGCCACAAGATTTAAAACATATAATGATACTGAAAATGAATCATACGCTTAACCGATCTTGTCTTGTTTCATGAAACTTACATTATTTTCTTCGAAGAAAAATATAGTGAATATAAATTTTAAGTTGAGGTTATGCAGTTCTTCTTCCTCCTTATAACAGCGGAGAGGGAGAAAGATCAACGGTCATTGAATACGTTTCCATAGCAATCGAAAACAACAGGTGTCAGATCCCTTTCCCAGAATTTCTTAGCAACGGTATTAACAACAACATTTAGACTGTTTTTTTCAATTAAAATTTTTCTCTGAATATGACGTTTTGGTCGATTATTACTTTCATCATAAACATGTATGTGTTATCATTGTGAAAAAAAATAGAAGAGAAAGTTTTCAACAGAATTGATATATTTTGTTGTCCAGTATGTAAATCTACAAGTTTATTTCTTTGCAATTTTGCATCATGTCAAAATGGTATTATCACATTCTAACTCATAGCAACGAACAGCATAGGAATAGAGTGTGTTTAGTTTGAAGTGGTTGGGAAATAGATCTGTTTATCGAACTTTCACAGTTCACACCATAGAGTTGCACATTATTATGTATTAAAATGTGCAGTTTTAAGTGCGCTAGTGGTCAAAAAACAACGGTCAACATAAAAAGTAAGCGACGAATGATATAAAAATTATGTTCTCTATAATCCCGAAAGTACGTCAGTTTCTTTTTGAAATTGTACAGCCGAAACAAGTTGAATCATATTCGGAAAACATGTTTTAAAGTATTTCTTGCAAAAAAAACTCTTTATTTTTTCATATACATTTTAAAAAGAAAAGGCATAAAAATGTTAATGATTAGAAAAAAAACTAATTGTTCTTGAATAGTTCATCTATTAAACAGCTGATTTAGGAAATTTCCATCGAAAGATACTTCCATCAGCTCCAACAGTAATAATATGTTGCGTATTTGGACATATTTTAACTTTTCTTATTTCACTACCATGACCAATACCAATACTATATACGTCACCTTCATTATAACGCCATAACTAAATTTAAGAAAAATCTATTATTTTCAATATGAAAATAAAATAAAGTCTTACTTTTACTAATTTATCACCACTAACAGTGATAAAATAATTACCAGCACTATCAACATCAAGTCCATTAATTGTTCCACTTTTTGATGCTTCTAATTCACGTATTTGTGTACCACTTATTGCTTCCCAATATGCAATTTTTCGATCACTACCGCCTGTTATTATATGATATTCTTCTGGATGATAAGCCACACATTGAAAAAGTGTATTTTCAAATAAAACTTGATTACGTGCAAAACGTCTGGAAAACAAAAAGAAACAAAAAATTATAATAAAATCAAATTATTATTTACTTTAAATTCCAAATAATACAAGTGCCATCAAGTGAAGCAGTAACACATTCTGTATCTGATTTATTAATACGAATAGCAACAACAGCATTTTTATGTTCTTTCATTGTTGCTAAAAGTTCACGTGAATTAGCATTGATTTGCCATATACGTATCATTCCTTCACCGCCACCACTAATTATTCGTCGACAATCATTTGTAACAGTAACAGCTGTTACACCACGATTATGTGCATCATTTATTGTAAACATTTCACGACCTGTTTCAGGATAATATGCACGAATACGACCATCATCCCATCCACTATATATGAATATATGATCTTTGAAATCAAATATTCAAATTAAATTTTTACCTTATAATCATTTTTCCATCACGAGTAAAACATATAGAATTACATGTTTTATTTGCTTGGGAAATTCGTAATAATTCATTACCAGTTGATGCATGCCAAATACTATAAAATCAAAAAAATATATATAATTATATAGGTGTACTCAATCAACCGGATACTACAATTCTTATTTATTGATGTACTTTTAGCCTGATATCAGAAAAATTTATAAAGCATTATCTTTGTAAAACAATGTATGAAAATCGTGTTCCGCTTCGATGTTATTTTAATTTTGACATGTACTTCAGATCTATAGTTTGATACATGATTCAGCGCTGAGTATTTTCTCTGATTTCAATGTAGAGCAAACTAAATCGTGTGTCTATTCAGTCAAATTATATGGAACTCTGTTGATTTTTAACAAGTCTTCTTTGAAATGGAAGATCATGTTCATGGATATTTTGTATAGATGATGAGTTTTAAAATAATCTTGTATAGTATTAGATAAAAAGACATCCTCAATTTTTCTTTTTCTATTGCTGAAAACCAAAGATTGCCAAATATTATTGTGGTCAAGTGTTTCGCTAATTCATTGTGTTAAAAGCACTTCGTATTAAACTTGTACATATCATTATCTTCTCCTTCATTTTTCTCATAATGGGACACTATTCAAAAAATAGTCGAGTAAGAGTTGGTGTATATTTACGCATTAAATGTAAAATACCGTTAACAAAAAAGATTGTAAGAGAACACTTGACCATTTACGTTTCCAGTAAGACATAGAGCTCAAAAAAAAATATTTTTTTTCAATATCTGGCTACAGGTACATAAATAAATAAGTATTGTGGAATCAGTCTGGTTGAGCTCGCTCACATATATATTCCTATACATTTTATTTATCTTACCGAATATCTTGATAGCTACATGTACCAAATAATTCCGATGTTCCACTATAAAAGAAATTTGTTAATTAGATAATTAATAAAAATTGATTGTAAACTTACAATGGAAAAGCAATATCATTTATGGGTGAATTATGACATGTATTAATTAATTCCATTTTCCAATCTGCATAATTTATTTTGTAAATATGTGATCGATCTGTACCAATAAAAATCTATATAAATAGAATTTGGTTGTTTTTTAATATTGCAGAAAGAAAACTAATTTTTCTTTTTTTTTTTTTCATACCATATGACCTTCGCCTCTTAATGCTAATGAAGTAATATCACCCATAGCTTGTAACGATCTAGATAAATAAGACTTTGATATGAATAATCGATTAATAGAAAAATTTACTTTAATGATTTAAATGTTTCTTTTTCAGTAATATGAACTTTGCCTTCACCTGTACCAATTAAAACATCACCATTGATTAATGCTTGCATAGAAGTAATGCCCATAGAATATTTTTTCTTTTCAGGTCCAATAGATTTAAATTGAGTAGCTGGGATATAAATCATAAGAATATCTCCTGTTGTTGTACCACAATAGAGAAAGGTACCATCGAGTGAAACCTTAAATAAAAGAAATAAAAATTCTCCAATCGAAACACGAAAAAAATGGCATTCAAGATGATAATAAATCTGTATATATTTCTCATACTACTAGTCAAATCTATTGTGAATATTTACATTTATCTCTCATTTTTGTTAAGTTTATAAAATCAGTTCTTTGAATGCAAAGATAACCTAATGAGATTGTCGATTTTTTTTTCAAGTTTACCAATGATCAGTTGAATATTTTCAATATTACTTACAGTCATACATTTAACAATACGTTTCACAATACCAGTATTAATATCTGTCGGTCGAATTTTTCGATTTGCTACATCCAATTGCCAAAAACGTAGTGTACCACTAAATGTTTGCATTATTACTATTATTTAAAGAAAAAGGCAAATTATTTTTTCATTTACTTTCCAGCACTATAAAATTGAAATTCATCTTCTTTTGATACAGCCAAACAATATGTAATACCAGCACTTTTATGTTGAGCAGCACTACCACATACTGGTTCTTTTGTTTCCATATTCCAAACAATAATAGCGCCATCATCTTGTCCACCCAATGAAATCAAAAATCTGTCTGAACAAGTAAAAACAAGATCTTCAATTTTGACCTTGTGTAAAACAAGTCGTGCATATGGTTCACGACTAGTATAATCCCAAACAATGATGTCAGCCTATTTTATTTCAAGTATCTTTTTAACGATTGATTGATTTGAAAAAAATAAGATTTTTTTCCCTATTTCTTACCTTGAAACCCATAAACGTTACTTGACCTGAGGCTATATATTTTCCATTATTTGAAATAGTCAAACAAGATACATTATTATTATGGCCAAGAAGAAATTCTTGTTGTCGAGTTTGTAAATTTTCAATAACTAAATTACAGCCTAATGGATATATCATATGAATACGATCTGGATGAAGTTTAAGACCATGAGGAACTTTTCCTAAATTATCAAAAAATGATATAATCATAATGAAAATTTTTATAATAAATATTAACCTTCGAAACCAATCGTTGATTCAAGTTCGAGTCGTTGTAAATTATCAAATCGTTCTGGTTGATTGTTAGCAGTCGACATTGTTTGATGATGAAACTGACGAATTTATTACAACAAGACACTGTTTTTTATTAGGATTGAATTTGTCAGAATGTTGACAACCATTTTTATGTACAACTGCTTAGCAATGACCAAGAATATTATCATTAGAATATTTATTTCAGGCTATTGAAAGATAATAAGAATGAAAATAAACTAGATTATAATTTGTTAGATGTAGAAATATAAAAGTCAGTTTTGAAATTATCTATTTTGACGACTAGTGACCCCTATTGATGATTTGATGAACGAACAGTAAAGTAAGAATATAAGAAGCTCTAGTCTTTTACTTTATATGAAATACTATATACTATTTAGTTTCTTCTATAAACAACAACAAAAACAAGAGATCATCTCAAATTTCACAAAAAAGCAAGTAATTCACGATTCACCTGGTATCTTGTTGCTTCGAAAATCCTATCAATTTCGGTAAGTTTACGTTTGCTTGTT